CATCGTACTGATTTCCTGCCTGCCTCTTTCCCTCTGTGTTATCTTGCCATTTGCATTGTTTGTTACTCTGCATCTTGGACTCTGTTTTGGATTCATGTTTGTATTAGAGATCCAAAAGTGCTAGCACCTACACTTCTTAATGAACAATAAACTTTATGGCAAATGCCCACATCAATCATATTCTATTAACCCTGGTCATAACTCTGATTTTCAAGTGACAGATAATCTTTGCTCACTCTGTCCCTGCTTGTAAGAAAAATAAAAATAAAATGAAAAATTAAAAACATCTAAAACAAAGTGGATGTTTTAATCATTAAGACATTTACTGGAGGAATCCATTCTGCACAATCAGATATGTCCAAAGCGATCAAGTTACAGCTAATAATTATTTAGTGGGCTGATCTTTTTGCCCCTGCACAGAATACCAGACAAATATGACCTCTGACCTCTGCACCCTTCACCTGCATAACTTGACATGTAGGCATGTGCGATTTTAAAAATGCAGGTAGAGTAAACTTTATGGGTCTTAATAGCATTTATGTAATCCTGTCAAAAACTACACAGATAAATAAAAACATTCACTTTTACCTAATGGTATTAAAATTATTTCTTATAAGCTTATTAGAATATCAGTGGGCTAATTTTATGACACTGTAGAGCTTAGAAAGCAGGTTTTCATTTGGCCACATTGGCTTGTCAAACTTCTCATGCAGCTATTTATTATTTTTAAGTCATTCATTTTCCTTAAACACTTCTTTTCAGAGTAATGTGGCATTTGTTCTAGCATGCTCTGAGGCAGAAAGCAGTGAGGTGATCCGTCCATCACAGACCTGTCAGTTAGCACTGTTTGCTTAAGACTGCATTGTAAATCAGCCCTGACATGACAATGGTTGATAATGAAAGCTAAATGCTCTCCCCCAGCTCTGTATACTCTATGAAATTAAAGGTTCCTATTGCTATGTGACCTTTAACAGCCCATATAAGCCATTCAGACATCTTAACATGATTTATTCCCAACCAGTCACAGTTTGACATCGAATTAGGTCATTATACAAAGACTGCATTCACGAAGATCCTAATTGGAGGAAACGAAGACGAGTTGGGCTCTCTGGGTTTTACCAATAGGATCTGGCTGCGATGAGCTGAACTGGCAAGTCAGCGTCTTGTTTATGTTAGAAGGAGATGGATCGGGCACGACCTCTCGACCCATTTCCTCTGTTGATTTTTTGCTCGTGGGCTTAAGGGAGCATGCCCAACCCCCCCTGCCACAACATAAATATACACACACCACGGGAAGAGGAAGCAAACTTGTCTCATGCCTAACAAGTAGTGGCAGAGCAATTTGTTCTGAGACAAATTGAAACATGTCAAAATGGCCTCTGTAGGAAATAAGTGATTCGAACTGATGCCCTGTGTGCAGACAGAATCAGGTCACTTAAAAGCCATTTAATGTTGGAGTCAGAAATGTCCATATGTTTACCTAAACAAACCCCATAAACAGAACAAAAACCTATTCACCAAAAAATAAATAAATAAATCACTGACCACTTAATAGGTGAAGACAACTGTTCTCCTTATTTTTGATTTGAACATTCGTAAAAATATGTATTTAATTTAATTTTCCATTTGATTTGTGATGTATGGAAACTTTACAGCTTTAACTGGGAGTGTTTGGGGAAAAGGGAAATGGTGTGATGAGCACTATTTTTTTTAAAAGGAGCTTCATTAAGATGACAGATTGTTTTTAGAGGCATTATCTTACATAAGAGTTGAGCCATATCTTCATACTCTCAGATTAAACGAAGGATTTTCAGGCTTTATGTTAAAGTAAACTAATTTGTAACTGCTACTGTTAGTTTTGTGCTTTGTGAGCCACTGACGGCTGACAGCTTTTAATAATTTGACCAGAAGATGGCAGCATTTTATTATCATTTCCCTCGTTCTTAGCGAAGTACAATTTTCCCCCAAATTTTGCTGTAACATTTGAGTTTATGAATAGCGTTTGGATTTATCATGCTGGAGAACAGGAATCATTTTTTTCCTTTTCCAAATTATGGACACAAATAGAACCACAATGGGGTGATGATGTTCAACAGGACAAGCGGACCACACACTGCAGAGACGTGATCACGATGGAGAGAGTTTCAAATCTGTCTCTCCTCTCTGACGTCTTAATTAGAAGCCTCGGTCATCACATTTGTAAATGATCCATCTTATTAAGAGTTATGTGAGCCTTCAGCTTAAACCTCTTATTATAAGCATTTTTTGTCCTGGCTTAACAGACGGTTTCTTCTTTAACTTCTGATGGCCAAACCAAAAATAACACCGGGAATAACAAATGTCCCTCTTCCACTACCGCTGTTCCAAAAACGAATAACTGAAGACTGGGCGATCTATGTGGGATAAAGTAAAATGTGAGACATTAAGCTCGACAGAGAACAGAAGTCAAGAGTTAACAACAAATCTTAAGCGCAGGGGGCTTTAAACTAAGAAGACCACCTGTAGTTTCACCATTGCCGTGCCGATATTGTTCTCCTCGTCTCACAGCGTGTAAATCTGCAGCACCAGGGACGCTTAATAGAGCTTATCCCACGTGGCTACAAAAGCAATTTACATGTTTTAGTTAAATACAAATGAAACTACAGCTGTCATAGCTCAGCCATTGCGCACAGAGATGCTGAGACTTTAGCACCTTGCGCACTCTGCTCGTTAGTCTGCTGAATACTGAGATGCTGCTTCAAGGCATGAATTGCATCAACAACTTAAAAAAACAACAACTAAGAAATACACAGTTTGACAGTGTCAGATTCCAGGAGAAACAAGTATTGAGAATAACCAGGAAGCACGAGTAAACGTTCAATAAAAGTTGTTTTATTCTCAAAATAAAATCTTCTATCAAAATGGAAATTATATATATTTACAGTCTCGTAAAATTCAATGTACAAATGTACAATGTATGTACACCAATAATTATATAAATACACTTTATGCGCAAATGCAACCCGTACGAGGCAGTATTAAGGCATTGATTAATGTACGCATAAACCCATCTTGTAGACAAAACAGCCCAGCAATGGCCTCATTTCTAGCAGAACAGTCTCATTGTGAATAGTGTGTTTAAGACACAGCGGCTCTTTGCAGTGAGAATAAGGAGATACTCAGATATACCATATAACCTATCGACAAGGGGGATCTTGTCAGCTGTGTGCATTCAATTAAGCCCAGATAAGACTCTGCATTCTTCGTGCCAGGTACATTGTTCTGCTGCTGACAGTCTCATTATTTAAAGAGAAGCCATTAGGCGCTCATTAATGTGCTAATTACAACACGCTGATGTACAATCCCAACACAATTAGTCACCCCTCCCCCTCTCAAACCCTCTATTCAAAACCCCTGTACGTCACTGGAAGAAGGCAAGGGAAGAGCACTTTCCATAAGTCAAACTGATCTTCTAAGTTTTATAAGCAAACCGGAGCATAAATCCATTAAACTTTCACATTAGGGGAGTTCTCAGGAACAAAGTTTGACTTTAACTGGCAGTTTGGGGACTGACGTTTAATAATTTACCCATTAAAAACAAAACAAAAATCATTCTCTACGACACATTGCCCCCAGAAAGCTGGTTTTAAGTCTTTAGTGTCAAATGACATGAGATTGGGCAACTGGACGTCCAATCCACCTGATCAAACCCGGGAAAGTGGCATCTGTTTGGGGCAGGAGACGGAACTGGCCGTCCCAGACCTCCAGGTCAGTCCAGTGCTCACGTCACTGTACATGGAGCCCGCTGAGGCTTTACTACCCCAGCAGCACCGCGTGCAAAAAGTCCTCCAGGAGTCCAAGGTCTTCCCGGACCAGATCCAGGCTCCCGACGTGATACCCACCAGGAGGCACATGAAGTATTTCAGCATAAACACAGCATAGTCTGGCCTCTGCCTGTTCGGGTCCGTCATGCACGTACAGTTGTGCGTAATTTCCCACGTCTGCCTGTTATGCTGCTCGTAAAAGTAACACGCCACTATGACAGTGGCCGGGACTGTATATAAAACAGTGAAAACTCCAATCCTGATCATCAGCCTCTCCAGTTTATCAGTTTTTGTGCCTCCTTGTTTGATAACACTCCTGATCCTGAACAGCGAGACGAAGCCGGCCAGCAGAAACATGGTACCGATGAACAGGTAGATAACCAGCGGCGCCAACACAAAGCCCCGCAAGTTGTCCAAATTCTGGTTGCCTACATAGCAAATCCCGGCTACGGAGTCCCCGTCCACTGAGCTCAGAGCCAGAACCGCGATGGACTTCATGCTGGGAATGAGCCAGGCGGCTAAATGAAAGTACTGTGAGTAACTGGCTATTGCCTCGTTACCCCACTTCATACCTGCAGCGAGAAACCAAGTGAGGGACAGAATCACCCACCAGATCGAGCTGGCCATGCCAAAGAAGTAGATCAGCAGAAAAACGATGGTACAAAGAGCAGGTCCAGTGGTTTCATAGTGAATGTATTCTCCGCCGTTTTCTCTATTGCAGGCCACTTCTTCGTGTCCAGCGATCAGTCTGACAATATATCCAACTGACACGAACATGTAGCAGGCGGAGAGGAATATGATGGGGCGCTCCGGGTACTTAAACCTCTCCATATCAATTAAAAAGGTCGCCACAGTTGCAAAAGTGGAGATGAAACACAGAACAGACCACAGGCCGATCCAAAAGGCAGTAAAAGTCCTCTCTTCTGGTGTAAAGTAAGGGTTGTGGCACGGAATGGCACAGTTCAAGATCTGTCCAGTTTTGACGCGGTTGTGCAGAGGGTGGCTGTCGCTGGTAACGGGCACCATGGGCGCACGGCAGAAGCATCCCGTTTCACACGTAGACGCTGCTGGTTTGTGCTTACCGGGGATCCCACGACCATAGCCGCTCTTCTTCTTGGTGTTGTACGGCTTTAAGGGTCGGTTGGTTGGCTTCGCCACCACAGGAGAGACAGTGGTGGTCTGGCTGCGGTTGTAGTCCATGCACAGCGTGTCCTGGTTGCCTTGTTCGGGCAGCAGGTCGCATCTCATCCGGTCTGGCCACGGGAAGCCGTACTGTCTCATGAGCGGCGCACATCCAGCTTTGGCCCGCTCACACACACTCCTGCACGGTGGCAGCGGCTTCTTGTAGTCTTCAAGGCAGATCGGTGTGTACATACTGCAGAGGAAGAAGCGCAAGTCGGGGGAACACTTTATTTCCACCAGCGGCCAGAACTGGTGCACTTCCAGGCCGGCTTCGTCCTGCGTGTCGTGTTTGAACTGGTTGGGCATGTAGGTGTAGTTGTAGCCGATGCCTTTGCACAGAGGTACGGAGATCTCCTGGCACTGGAGCTCTTTGGCAGCCAAGCAGCGCGTTCCGTGCAGAACCAGGGTTAACAGCACGCACCATCCCGGGATGCTCCTATCCATCGTTGTTTTCTGTGCGCGTTTTGTCCTCCAAAGTCAGAGCGAACTTGCTTTTTGCAAGCAGGCTGCAAGTCCAGTTAATCCAGGAGAAGTGCCAAACTCATACTAATGCGCACGCAGTTTGCGAGTATGTTTAGTACGTGTGATATCCAACACAGGCGTTTTACTTTCTGAGAATCTGTGGATACTTCCAGTCTACTCTCCCTCTCTCTCTCTCTCTCACTCCTTTGTGTCGGTGCAGCACCGCGTCTCTGCCTGCATGCTCCGTAACACACGGGAGCGTTTGGCTTTATACGAGCTGGAAGAGGACACTCCCTCAGCCTGGGCGGAGAGGAAGAGTAAGTCAAGTCAATCAAGACTTCCTTCTATAGGTGTTTGTTTAAAATGTTCACCCTGGTGGAAGGGTTATAATCACTTTGCCCTTGTTTGCACTCCCCCAAGAGACACACACAGACGCAGAGTCACAGCGCCCTTTACAAACAAGGAAAAGTTATCAAAAAATAAATACATTATGCAGGAATGTAAATAGGAATGCAGACAGCCAACTAATAGGATACAAATGAACTAAT